GGGATAAATACCATGTTTACTCACTCACATGTGGAGCTAAGAGAGAAAGAAGGAAGGAAAGAAAGACCACAGTAGTGCATTGGACTTGTAGAGGGAGAGAACATTCCTTCAGCTACAAAGTGGAGTGGGGGGGGAGAGGGAGGTTGGGGATAATTGGGTGGGGGACATGGGGTACAAATGCAATCTGTGGTAATGGGTATGCTGCCATTATGAATCTGGCCCCCACATCATGGGCATGAGGGGTGACAATCAGCTTTGTATCTCATGAATATTCATAACCAATAAAAAATAAATAAAAATAAAAATAATAAATAAAAACAAAATAAAATAGAACAGCTGTCTAGGAAAGAGGGAAGGTTAGCCTATAAAAGAAATGCAGTAGGATTTTTAAGCAGCATTATTAATTTGAGGGGTGATGATATGAATCTACATTAGAACTAATATGCTCCATTGTATGATAATTTATCAAATAAGCGATATGATCATTTTTCTCAAGCTGTATTGCCTAAGGAGCATGTAGATAAGTGTAGTTTAGGCAAAGGAAGCCACTAGAGCAAAGGTTCTGTGGTAGAGGAAGCCTGGCATATATGTATGCAGTAGAGCAAGTAATTCTCAAAACAACCTTTAAGCTATAGCCACACAGTCAACAAAGCTTTGAGCCCCTCCTAAGGTGCAGGCACCATCCTAGGCCCCTGAGATATATCTGTGAACTAAACAGACAAAATCACACGGAGACTACTTTCTAGCAGGGGGAGATAGACAAGAAAAAGTAAGTACATTATTTTGCATTTGAGAAGGTGATAAATAGTTTGCAGAGAGAAAGAATCGATTTAAGGGTAATTTGATTATCTTGGGAGCAGATTGCAGTTTATTAAACAGCAGTTAGCACAGGTCTGTGTGACAATGTGATGATTAAACAACATGAAAGAGCTAAAAGAGTTACCCATACCAGTATCTGGGGCAAATGCAATCTAAGCATAGGAAACAGAGCTCCATGGGTTGATTAAGTCTGGCATGTTTGAGGCAGAGCATTAGGGCCCGTGTGGCTGTAGGGGAGTGAGCAAGGACTATATCAGTAGAAGATGAGGTAAAGAAGGTCAAAAGAACCAGATCAGGAGGGGCCAGGTGGGTCACTGTAAAAACTCTGGTTATTGCTCTCAGTGAAGAGGGGTCCACTGTAGAGTTTTCAGCAGAAGTGCATGATCTGACTTCCAAGGTAAGTGGATCACACACTATGCTGTCTTAACAATAGACCACAGGAGGCAAGAGTGGAAGGGCAGAGTCCTACAACAAAGCTACAGCAGTAATACCGGTGAGAGATGATGGTAACTTGAATCAGAATGGTAGCAGTGGTAGTGGTGAGAGCAGCTGAATTCTGGATATAATTTGCAGGTACATGTAATAGACTTCTGATGGAGGTGGGTGTCAGAAATAGAAATATCAAAGATAATTCCAAGAATTTGGCTTAAGCAATAGAATAACGGCAATGGGAGTAATCCATAACCGAGTGTATTTTTTTTAAGAGTGACAACAGTCATTTTTCCACATCTCTTTAGTCTGGAATTGTTACATTGTTAGGACATATACCCTCCAGCACCAATATCTCAAAATTCTAAAATTAAAAAATATGAATAACAATTGTATGTTTTCAGGCAGAAAATTCATTGAGCCAAAAGATTATTCCATGTGTGAATTCTCTGTAAAACATACCAGATATAGAATCAGCTAGCATCACTTAAATATATCTACTGATAGCAGTCCACTGATGGACAGCTTGGCTTGATAAAAAGTTGCTTCACAAAATATCAGGTGCTATCTCACCTGAAAACACATAACATAAAGTTCAGAGAAACTAAATAGTTAAATTTCAAAACAGAACCTATAATGGAAAACAAAATTAAAAATCTATAAATCTACAGAATTAAAACACTCCAAAATAAAGGGAAAAATAGGCAGAAAAAGAAGATTTTGTAGAAACGTTAAAATATACAATAAGTTTATATTTGAAGTTTAACTTTTCCATTACTCAGATATAAATAAAAATTAAATATTTAGATATAATCTTTTATTTATAGGACTTACAAATATTCATAAGCTAATAATACATTAGACAGAAAAAAGTATATTTCAAGGAATTTTATCTGGAATGATGTATGTATAAGAAAGATGATATTAGCCATCCTTGTATATAAAACATAAACACACTTATTTATGCAAAAACAATTTGGATAAGTAATTTAACACAGCACCCATTCTATGAAATTTTATTTAATCATTGAAAATACAGTTTTTGAAAAATATTTAGTAAATGGGAAAATACTAATGATGTAATAGAAAATTTATAAATACACGTTTTTGTTCAAATGATAAACAAGGAAACTGAGGGAAGGCAACAAGCAAAACCTTATTTTTACTGCTTTACAATTTCCAAACTTTCCAAACCTTCAACAAATAGTTCATAATCAGAAATGGATATAGATATTAATTCTTTAACTCACTTATTACATCGGCATGTGAATCAAGATATAAGATTATAGGCATATTTATATCAATTTCACAGAATTGAGGAAGATCTAAGCAAAATATAATACTTCCAAATTTGACTAGTCAATTGTTTTAGTATATAAAGACTACTAAGAATCAATAAGCAGGTGTTCAGAAAGCTAATAAAATAGATGTCCAA